CGGCTCGCCCTCCACGGCACGTCTCCACCTCCGGCAGTCCAGCCTCCGTGTCTCTGTCCAAGGTATTCCCCCCCTCTGTTTTTAAACATATTTGAAGATTTTTTTGTAATAATATCTGTGACTGTAAGAAATTATGTGGACGAAAATGGCGACCATTAGAACATTATGGGTTAACAAAAACAGTATTTTTTTTTGCTGAAACATGCTTTTCCACTACTCATTGCCCTTGGCAGTATTTATGTATGTTAATTTGTAGTGTCTCAATGAATCTATCATCATTCTGTACAGGTGTCAACACAGTTCTTCGCTATATTGCCCGTACTACATCTGTCTCCAGCTTCTATGGCGAGAACGCTATTCAGGCAGCACGTGTACGTTTCTGTTCCACATATGCTGCTTGTCAATGATTTTCAAGAATCGTCTCAGTATATTCTAAGTTGCCACTGTTATTATGCCTATGTAGGTTGATGAATGGCTCGAGTACGCACCACTCATTCTTTCAGGCTCTGAATCTGAAGCCGCTTGCTCATTTCTTGATGGATACTTGGCATCTCGAACCTTTTTGGTTGGTCATGGTCTGACAGTTGCTGACATTGTAGTGTGGTCAAACCTCAGAGGTAATTTCTGGCTTCTTTCGTTCATGTGTAGTTTAATGTTCTCTCCCTTTGTCTTACCCTGGAGGTCACAACTGTTTTCTTCAGGAGCTGGTCAACGATGGGAAAGTTTAAGGAGGTCAAGGAAGTACCAAAACCTTGTCCGTTGGTTCAACAGCGTAGCTGTAGACTATGCACTAGAGGAAGTTACATCTGTTTATGTTGGAAAGCGAGCAATTGGCAAATCTCCCGCACCATGCCTGAAAGAAAAGATGCCTGGCTTGAAGAACACCTCAGGTCATGAGATAGATCTCCCAGGTGCAAAAGTTGGGGAGGTTTGCGTACGTTTTGCCCCAGAGCCTAGCGGATATCTCCACATTGGTCATGCTAAGGCTGCACTGTTGAACCAGTATTTTGCAGATAGATATAAAGGACGTCTCTTAGTTCGATTTGATGACACAAATCCTTCCAAAGAAAGCAGCGAATTTGTTGAGAACGTCCTGAAGGATATTGAGACCCTTGGAGTTAAATACGATGCAGTTACATACACATCGGATTATTTCCCAAAGCTTATGGAAATGGCCGAATGTTTGATTAAGCAGGGAAAGGCATATGTTGATGATACACCCAAGGATAAAATGAATACTGAAAGGAGGGACGGTGTGGAATCTAAATGTAGAAACAGTACTGTTGAGGAGAACTTGTTGTTGTGGAGTGAGATGGTTAATGGTACCAAGAGGGGTACTCAGTGCTGTGTGCGTGGTAAACTTGACATGCAGGACCCCAACAAATCACTTCGAGATCCTGTTTACTACCGTTGCAACCCTGATCCCCATCATCGTGTTGGCTCAAAATACAAGGTCTATCCAACATATGACTTTGCATGCCCATTTGTTGACGCATTGCAAGGGGTGACTCATGCTCTTCGTTCAAGTGAGTATCATGATCGGAATGCACAGTACTACCGTATCCTTCAGGACATGGGGCTGCGGAGGGTTGAACCCTATGAGTTCAGCAGACTGAATATGGTTTATACCGTTCTTAGCAAGCGCACGCTTCGCTGGTTTGTACAAAACAAGAAGGTGGAGGACTGGACTGACGCACGCTTTCCCACCATACAAGGCGTATTACGTCGTGGCTTGAAGGTTGAAGCCTTGATCCAGTTTATACTCGAGCAGGTAATCTTCTAATGAGTTACTCTTCTTATCTAATATTATTATGTGTAAGTTTTGAGTTATTGACTCTCCTTTCTTTTTTTGCATCTCCTATTTTTAAGGGTGCTTCAAAGAATCTGAATCTCATGGAATGGGATAAACTCTGGACAATCAACAAGAAGATAATTGATCCAGCCTGTGGAAGGCATACTGCTGTGTTGAAGGACAAAAGTGTGCCCTTGACACTTACTAACGGCCCAGCGGTACCATTCATTCGAATTTTACCTAGGCACAAGAAATGTGAGGGTG